AAAGTAACATAAATATATATATACACATCTAAAATTATGTAAATATATATATAAATTGAAAGACACTGCTTAGGCTATCTTGCTCTTGTGTCTCTGTTTTTTATCTCCAGGTGCTGGTGGTACATAAACCACCCCAAATACAAATTTGTGGGAAGGTGCATAGTTAGCTAAAGTTATCTACAGTCCAAACATGTCCAAACAAATGGTAAATTAAATTGCAGTGGCCAGTGCGCATCACCCACCCCAAATTAGTTTTCCAAACCTATGTTTCCCTGTCCCCTTGCCAAGCATCTTGAACACGAGCCAAAACATCAAAAGGATCTTCTGCAGAGCTCGCTGGCTGTTTTTCCTGGGCAACGGTGCCATGTGCTTCAGGACGATCAAGTTGCTTTGCTTGTGTTCTTCTTTTGCTAGTCTCGGAGAAAGAGGACACATGAGGAATCATGAGGACACAAATCAAGAAAGGTTTCCCTACGTTGCCGGAAACATCCCGAAAAATAAGTCAACTCCAGTATACTCCTATCTTAGTTGATGCATGTTGAGCCTGTTTTCCACATGATCCCAGCAAAGGGATGGGTGACTGGATACTGGATGCATCTGGACGCTGACGATTGCAGCCATCAGACGTCAGCCATCAGCTCACGACATTCTGAAACATTCTGAAACCATCATAAGTTCAGTGTTCAGTGTGATGAAAATACTTAAAGCGATGGTCAATGGACCACAATACCCACCATTGTGCGCATGACATGTGTTCACATGCCGGCTGCCTTTCGGGCTTCAAGCCACTGTTTGTACACAGCAACGCAAAAGGAGGATGGATATTCTGACGTATTTGGCAGGCTTGAGCCGCCTGTGAACGTCTTCTGGCCTGTTTTCACTGACCATCCAATCGTGTAATAAACTGGAATGGACTTGCCTTGAGCCCTCAATCTGTCGTACTTAGCTTGGATCCTTTTGTTGAACTTCTCCTTCACCGGCTTGGTCGCTCTTCGTGCAACGCCTGTCAGGTTCCTGAGAGGCTCAATACCCTTTCCATTCCTTTCCCAACCGTAAGCCAAACATAGCCAAACATAGCAACACCAAATTCCATTACTAATGATTCAACAATCATCACATTTCATCACCCCCAACATAGAAAAGGAACATTGTCTTGGGCAAGAATCTTCCAGTTTGTATACAGGCATGTGGCTTTCAAAATGTCCATGCCAAACAGACCAAGGTAAGTTAAAATACAAGAAAATCCCCACTGTTTGATCAAAGCGATCAAGGATGGCATCTTGAATAGCCGGCTTCCCTTGGGCTGTTCGATGGTGACGAAGGTAGTGGGCCGGTGCCGTAGCACAAGCTGGATGAGGGCAGCTGTGTTCTCTGCGATCAAGTTCGCCATTCGCACTGAAAGTAGGGCAATGTTGCCATTGGGCATCCAGTCCTTCTTTACTTATATAAATTTGTGAAAAAATCACCAACATTCACCTGGGAGGGGGGCATCACAATAAATTGAACATATCTGACATATCTAAAGTCTTCTAAAGAATTCAAAGTTAAAGATTTCCACAGTGACACGTCTAAAATCGTCTAAATCTCTTCAAGCTTCATAGCGCTGGTGCACCGATTGTGAAATGGAGATGAACAAAGAACACGGCACAGCAGCCCACAACAATGCGAACTCTGACAGCCTGAAGAACGAGCAAAGTAAACAAACGAAAAAACACCGTATAGATCGGCAAAGTGAAAGCTCCCCGAGAAACGAAACACATAAACAGAGAAACCAACAAGCCCCCCTGTGCGGTTACAACAAGCCATGAAGCCTCATTGCTGTATGTAAAGCATCAATAAAACCGTCTCGTGATAGGATATCTTGAGACTCTTGTGATGCAATGTCGTATGCAACAGCCACCCAACCATTCCTGCGGAAAGCCCTTGACAGCGCACCAGTCCGGCTGTACAAGTCGAAGCAATGTACATCTCGACATCCTTGCCATTGTTCACCTTTGATTGACCCAACTGGGGTTCCAGCTCATACTGTTCTTTTTGAACCAAGCAGAACAAGGCAATGCAAAACACATACAGTATCATACAGTAATTGCACAAACACACGCGAAAAAATGAATGGATTAAGTTGAAGCTCAGAAAGAGTTCAGCTCGCCCATGTGGCTTGCAGCGTGGAACCACGCACTCTCTGGGGTCACTGTAGACGTGTCATCACCCTGGCCAGCACCCCAGCTGGCCAGGGGAAGGCAAAGCATCATGCGCCACCAAGCCATCATGCTTCAAAGATCTTCAAAGCGCGTACAGGCCCACACTGCTTCTAGCCACAATGCTATGTCCAAATATTTTCAACCCGGCACGCTTGCAAGATCCCTGACGCAAGATTGTTTATATATGTGTGTTTGGTCTTTGTTGCCCTCTACAATTAAATAAATGAGAGTGCTGTTGGTACCCAGCCCACCTGAATTAGTTTTAATATGTCAGACATGGTTACAAAAATACCTGAACTCAAAGTCCACAATTGTATTGACTCTACATAAAAAAATGTAAGGCCCAGTGTACTCTACCAACCCCAAATTAATATTCTGACCAACTTGGTCCATATGGTCCTAGTGACTCTATATACATTTTTAAAAAAAAATGTAAGGCCCAGTGTACTCTACCAACCCCGAATTAATATTCTGACCAACTTGGTCCATATGGTCCTGTTGTGGATGATCTCTGACCATCTTTGATCGCCGTGATCACCCCTAATCCCTAATCCCATCTGAGGCCCCTGTGTCCAAGCATCCACCGCAGGCACAGGTTCAGATTTCCCCGGATCATGTGCCTCAGATAATCTCAGATGGGCATCCATTTTCCGGTTAATTTTTCTTTGTAGGATGTTGCATTTGACAAGTGGGAAACTGACTACATAAAGTCCAGGATAGTCAAGGTGCATTTGGGTCAGCAGCCTCTACCTTCATCCTCTTTGCCGGCTCTGCAGCTTTCACTTGGCTCTCCTCGGTGTAAGCAAAGTCGGGGAAGCAAAGTCCGGGGGCAGGTTTTTGGGACATGTTAATGGTTTTTCATCTCATTAGAGCACCCACTTGCTTTTGTTTTGCGATGACAAGATATGACAAGCCCAGAAGCACTCAGCGACTTCATCGTCTTCGACAGGCATGTGGAGGTCAACCATCCATACGTTTGCCTCACTCCGTCTCTCTCCAAAACATTCCAAAACATCATAAAACATCTACCAAAAAATTCATGCAATTCCACAGAGACAACACAACAACGAAAAGAAGCAATCATTTTCAGTAAAGTTTCTTGATCGCAATGTGGTGCGACGCACGTTTGTGACCTTCCTGGGTGACAGTGTCATTGTCCTGGGCTGATCTTTGGTTGGCACAGATTGGGGATGGTTGGTGCTCGTGCTGTAAAAGTACAAAAAATAGTATCGCCCGCCAATTAATCAGTTCAATCACTGCGGACCATGCTTCACATTTGCAAATCCAAACATGGTACTTCTCGTTCCACTCAGCGGGCCGCAGTTTGCCAGGACCTGAACATGAGCATCAATATGTTGAAATCTTGCAGTGTTAAAAAGTCTTTACCAAAAAAGCTGAACATTTGTGAAGCTTTTGCCGTCTGAAAAGATCTGAAAAGTTTTACATGCTTGAAAGTCTTTGACATTTTCTTCTCCCGAAACTCCACTTGAACGATCTTGAATCCAAGTCACATCCACTCACTTGGCAAAACTCCGGCGGACATGGTTCTTTGGCTGTGTTTTCTTCAGCCATGTTTGCATATGTTCGCTCTTGATCTGCTGGCTGCGGAGAAATGTGAAGCTGACTGCGGAGCGGACAACTGTCAATTCACGTCATGTTTTTTGTCTGACATCCTCCAATTCTTCTAAGTTGATTGTGTTTTTCCAAATTAATTGAAGGTGTGTTCTCTTCTCCACCCCCACTGTATTAGGAAATTATTTTGGGGTGGTTTATGTAGCATACCCTCCCCGACACCAAGTAATTAATCCAGGTGGTGTGAGTAAAAGCTTAAAAAATAATTGGGACCCACCTTATACATGCCTGCCAATTAATTTCTGGATAATATTAATTCACAAAAATTATTTCATAGAGTGTCCCCACCTATCAATTAATTTCCTAAGGGACCACGCATGCAGCAAGAGTCAAGAGACACATGTATTGAGTATTGGTGGATAAGGGTGTGGTGGGAAACATCAGGAAAACCGAAAGGATTGGCTAAAGGTTCTCAAAGCGAATGTCTGTCCCAAAGGGACGAGGTTCCACACGTGATCAAAGGTACTCCGCCATTTCTGTTTGCAAGTTTGGATTGAATGCCAGCTCCGGGAATTTGGGATGCCAGCTCGTGCAACTGGTGCACCAAAGTCTCAGAACACCGAAAGATCCAAAGAAACTCTCCGATGAGTCCTGCATGCAGTTTCTCCACGGAGTTTCTCCACCCAGAGGCCCACCTTCCCGTAGCAAAGCTGCAGCTGTGTAGCCATTGGAAGCAAGGAAGGGAATCGGTTCAAGCGTGCAAAACGTCAAAATGCAGGGTAAACGGCAAAAGGTTTGAGCTGTACTGTACTGGTTGGCTACAGTATCATGCTAGCGGCGGCAACAGCTGGCTAGCATGTGCGATTTCTATCCATGGTCCATAGCCAACGATAAACTGATGCTGATGATAATGTTTCCAGCACATGTTGGGATCAAGATTCCGCATCTGAGATCCAGAAGCTCTTTCGTGGGGTCGCAGATCTCGTCCCAGGTGAACAGACGTTCACCCAAAGATTGGGTGCCAAGCAAGTCACCTCCAAGCTGCTAAAAGTTGCAGCAAAAAGCCCTGGATGGAAGGGCTGCCAATCTGAAACAGAACATTACTGATGAGTATGCGCGTCGAGGTTTGGGAAACTTGTACTGTACCTGATTTGTTACATATGTTTACGCTACCTGAAGTTGACAGCTTCATCAGCTCCATATGCTCAAGGACTGAATGACTGGCACCTCAGCTGTCGCAAGAGGATTGTCATTGCAGGTCAACCAGGCCACCTGCTTTCGCAGCGGTGGCTGTGTCAATCAGCCTCCTCCCCAAGCCCCGGTTGCATCGATCTGATCACATCTGAGATATGCATGAGCAGGAGAATTGCCCCCCCAACATGCCAGCAAAAGCCACGTAGTGCACGTGCAACACCAAATCCAGCGGTCAGGCTGGTGACTTTGCAGCCATTCCAGGGCTTCTGACTTTCGACTCCCCATTGCACCTGCTTGATCCCTTCCCGCGGCTTGCTGTTGACATCCTGGACATACCTGAAGGGGCTAACGCTCCACGAAACTGGAGCATTGGTCCATTTCTGCTCGAAATCAAAGGAATCGGCCGGATGTTTTCCTAGTGAAAATGCACACCCATCTCAAACAGCTGTGACTATGATTCGGCACTTCAACTGCTTGTCACTGACCTCCTATCTAGGATCTTGTTCACTTCTCCACAAGGTTGGCTCTGAGCACTCTTTTTCAGCGCCAACGTCGAGCGGATCACGGGCCCTTTCTCCCTTTGCGCTGTTCGTGATAATTACTACACATTCACCGGTAACTTTAACTGTCAGTGTAACATTATGTAACTATACCTTGTAACTGCAACTATAACTATCGAAGCCTTGCCCATCTTTGCAAAGCGGCGCTGGGGTTCCTTCCCCAGCGAACGTGAGATCCCTAACTCGGATCAGCCTCAAGGGGTAGCGCCAAAAGGCCCGGCTCTTCTCCCAACTGACCTGACACCAAGCAAAGGAAATCCCACCACAGCCGACCACGTGAGAATCTCAGTGCCACAGTGGGTTGGTTTGTTCGTTTGATTGTTTGGTGTGTATTTACATGTACAATCATGTGTGTATGTATATATTTATACCTGTGTGTGTGAGTCGTTGAGTCCTTTGAGGGTCTCTTGTATACAAGCAGGCGTCATGAAGGGGAAAAGCCTGGAAATTTGAGTGTCCCTGGGAATTCACAAAGGTCAAGCAAGGTTGTCAACCACCAAGTCTTTTCTCTGTCCCTCACAGGCACATTGCATGCCACTGGTCGCCAACCTGTGCCCCTGCATTGGTGAGCCCCCCTCACTGAAGGCTGTCGCTTACAGGCGTCATATGAAGCGCTTGTATGCCTTGTATGTTGCGTCAGATGCACATCCGGGCAACGGCAAAGGAGTTGAATTGTTGCTTCATATCGGAGTATACGGTCGACTGCCTCGACGCATATGCAGCTTTTTGGGAAACGGCCGCATAGAAAAAACATGTGATGAATGGAATGATGCTACTTGTCACAGCGAGATCGCCGGTCCCAAAGGCTGGATTTGGGCCGCCCACATCATGCAGGCACAGGAGGCAAAAGAAAGGTGCTGTACAACATGCAATAGCCATGCCTTTGTCTAGGCTCAGGGGAATTGGTGCACGGAGCCCAATCCGAATGCGGGCTCTTCACACAGTAGCCCACCGCGATTCGAATTGGATGCATCCGCTAACACACGTAGGCAGCATCAATGCAGCTTAAAAGCACATCCAAAACAGACTCTACGTGGACATCCTGCGTTTGAGAAATCTACCGGCCACTCAACAAACGAGAGACTACAGGCAAGTCAAACTTTTCAGCATTCATGCAGCCACTTGCTGTGATGGAACCAGCTCTGTTGTGTGCTTCAAAAATTCAAGGGGTATTGTTGTTGAATGTATGAGCTTGGAGGAATTGATGCTGCCACATCCGCGTCTTTGATGGCAGTCACACAAGCCGAAACCAGAATGATGAAACACATCCAACCTCAGAAGCACATTCTCGAAGAGAAGAATCATGGTGGCTAATTACCTGCGCAAATATCGCCAAATATACACCATCAGTGCCTTTGAATGGCCAATGTGTGGAAAGTTACAAGTGAATCACGACCAGTCACCTTCAAAATGTAAATTTCTCCGGAGGTTGTTTCTTGTCCCAAAGCTAAGCTATCAGTCTGTTTTCACTGCCGCACTCAACAGCACTTGAGGCTAAGGCAACTACGCTCACTTCTTTGGATCCTTCACTTGTAAGGTCTTGTGGCAACCTGGAACATCGGCATGGTGAAACACAGCGAATGACAGACATCCCATCGAATGAGATGTCTGGCGAGCTCGCATCAATGATGACAGAGCGAACAGCCGAAATAAGCTTGACATCCGTGGAGCTCTTCAGCTGAGCCTGCTCGAAATCCTGTGACTGTCTCCCCTGCGACCTGCCCCATGTCTCCCCTCTCCGTGCCCACTCCTGTCCGAACGGGAAACTCATGGTGCCAAGTCCGAACGAAACGGTTGTGCAAAATAGTCACCCAAGGAATAAAATATGATTCTGCCTACATCCACGAACAATGGATCTGTCAAAAGAGGATCCGAGTCCTGCCTACATCTGCACAAATGCCATCATGATCGTAGTGCCAGGCCATATCCGCGTCCGCACGGTGCTTGCTCACGAAGGGGTTGGGATCCTCTCAAGCTGAGGGTCCAAGGACAAAAAGGTCGGAGCAAGTCGGTATCAAATGTGATTGCAGGGTGGCTAAAAATGTGGGCCAGCAAAAACACGGAAGGGACGTTTGGTTGTACGGCACCTTAATCTAACCTACTAAATTGTTGCAAAATATGTTGAGTGAAGCAAACCTAGTCACACCAAGGGCTGGACCTGCATGCCGAATGATAAATCAGGGTGGAAGATCTCATGATACGTTGACATCAGGAATGTATATCACCAAAAGCAAGAGTTTTTCTGGTGTAGTAATGAAAGAAAATGAAAGAAAACAACCAAAGAGGCTTAGCAAATACTAAATATGTTCTGATTTATTCCCCACACCTCCCACTAGGAGGTGTGGTTTCCGGTCCGAAAATCACTGCAGCTTAGCACGACGAACCGCCTCGGAGGTGGTGCTTTTTGCGTGGACACTAAAGAGGCTCCATTCTGAGCGCCCTGCATCAGTGTTCATGGTGGCAAAGGTGTGGTTCACGTCACGATGGTTGCCTAGGTAAAAAAGGTCCCGGCAGGCTGAACCTTTGAAGAAAGATGAAGAAAGCTTTGATGGCAGGCTGGTGTCCATACCAAATGCCAGGGATGTGATGTTCGAAAAATCACCAACGTCACTGCGCTATTCTCAGGCAGATCGCATCTGCTCTTATGACAAACTTCAAATCCCTTGGAGTCACTTCGATCGAGCAACAAAATCACGATGTCACAGGGCGATCCAGTGCAACAAAATTGCACACATGGCTTCCATCTGTTGGACAGCTCTCCGTGAGTCCGCGAGTTGCTCATTCTACACATCACAAAAGAATTTGTAGGCTCTCTGGCTCAATGTTAAACGCCTAGCGGCGATGAATACAAATCAGGAAAACAATACTGTACATGGAAAATGCAAGGATCCCGATCCCTCTTGCATGAAACGCGAAGCCCGGAAAGAAGCTGCATGCATAATATAATACGAAGTCCATGTACTGTTTCGTTCTCCTTCCTTCGCCGGGGCCCGTGGTTCCGCCCCGTGGTTCCGCCGCTTCGGCGCTCTCATCGGCGAACATGCACTTGAGAGCATCGATCCACATGGCCTCCTGAGACGGAGCTCATATTGGGCGAGCAGTCTTGGCGGATGCAAACATGACACGTTAGACAAAGTGAGCTTTGTCTAAGATGTTAGCTCATGTTAGCTCATGTGAACATCATTGTTAGACAAATGATTCTGATTCACAAGGTTAGCTCATGTCTTCTTTGATTCACCCTTCCTCTCAGCTCAGTAGATCTCAGTGGTGTCCGACTCTTCCAAAACCGTACCCGGACGTACGCAGCTCCTCTGAGAGCTTCCAGTAGGCAATGGCTAGGCCGGGAGCTCGAAGTTGTGACCAAGCGTCATGGAGTGGAGTGCCTGGCATGTCGAATATGTCGATGGATGGACAGATGAAGACCCCAAGCAAATCAGCTGACAACCAGCAAACTGAACCCCGAACTCGGGCCATCAAACTCATCAAACTCATCAAACTCATCTGTCCAGTTTTCGCGTCCAGTTTGGAAGGGGTCAGATCTTGGTCCACCTGGAGTCTCAACCTGGTGGATGATGTTGGCATAGGTCAGGCAAGCGGTCTCTTCCTCGGTTTCAGCTGGAAGCCAATCAGAGAAGCCCAAAATGAATGCAGCTATAGTTATAAAAATCTTTCATATTCCTTGATTAAATCCTTGACTTGTTTTAATTGTGAAAACAGGCTCTCCAATGAAAGATTTTATAAAGCTATAGTTCATGCTGTTGATGTCTTTTTGGAATTCGGGTTGGATCCCCTCCATCCATCACCAAGCGGCAAGGTAGCCAACAAAGCGATGGACAGCACCTGTCAGGTCGGATTTGGGAAACAAAGGTCAGGCACATGTCTGAGTGAGAAGGATCGTCTATCTCCAGCTCTATAAATCCACAAACCAGCTACCAAAAATTGGGAGTTCCATAGATTTCCAACACCAAGACCATCCAGTCCCGTGCGGACCACGACGCCTTCACTCGTGTCGTCAGACCGTTCGGGGACTGTCCGCCTGGATTCACCACATAAACCGCTGCCAGGAATGGCGTCATGAAGACTTGTGCCGCCATGACCTGGATGGGAACGGGAACGGCGCCCATGCGCTGCAAGGAGAAGACAATGGGTCAAGAGGTATAGAAAAGCAAACAAACTGACCGGTAGAGCTGGTTGGGTGGGAGGGGCTCAATCGGATCAAAAAATATATCTTGCAAAAGACCCGACATACCAATCTGGGTACCACCTGGAGGCCTACCGACATCCCTGCAAAACAGATTCTTCTGAGAGCTCCCACCAAGCAACGTGTAACAAAGCCAGCCTGGCAGCGAGGCTCTCAAAAGACCACTTTTGCATGGTAAATCTCCACTGAAGAGACCGGCAAAGGACTCGAGGATATATAGATTCTTCGCAGATACACCCTCGAGTCTAAGCCAACTTCATTGTTGTTGAGCTTCATGACTTGATATATTCTTGACTTGATATGCTTCATCTTCTTGCTCTCGGCAAGATCATCACAAGCACGCCTTCTGATCCTTCTTCAGCTCTGTTTCGCTTTGTGGGGCCAATCCTCATCCTTCAACCCTCTGGTGGTCCAAGAGCCTAAGACCTCCGTAACCAAAAAATGAAGAAGAAAAACATGAATGCAGTCCTGTATGGTCCCTGCCTTGAACATCTTCATGCAAACAAGCAAGTGCATCCGCTCATTCTCAGCCTCCTCTAACCTGTAGAGAAAAATATATCACAACCATTTCAACCATGTCTGATGAATGAGATACGGCTGACAACCCAGAGCAACACGAAGAACACATCAGAGGCGCTGCAGCACAACCAGCAGGAATGACCACTATCGGATCCGCACTCAAGCAGTCACAAATCCAAAAAACCGCAGAAATGACGAATAAGTTCTCAAACAGCCGCCGCATTTGGCAAAAAGCTGCCTGGCCAAACTACTCTTGTCCTCCAATGCTTCTAAACCCCTGGTGTCCATAGCTTGGGCAAATGGCAAAGTGTGGATCCATCCATGGTCGCGCTTCAAAGTGCGAAGGCAGCGGAAGTGCCTGCGGAAGTGCAGCACAGCGTTAGTGATTTTTTCCTAGAAAAGCGAGCCGCAGCCCGTTTGTGATCACGAAAGATTGAACCCCCCCCAGCCCAACACCCCCTAGCCTTCCACTCTGCGTATTCCACACCTATCGTTCTTTCTTAAAGAAATGCTCTTACCAGCGTGCCCAAAACCTACTGTACACTGCATCAGGGTGGGTCACCGCACAGCAACATAACGCAACGCAACGTCTGCTATCCCCATGAACCGGGCACCGGAAATTCGCCTAAACATCGCCGCCATAAAGCCGGGGACGCCCGCAAAGCTCTCGAGGACAATCAAGCGCCACTCAACTGCCTTGACCTCAGCGCCCAGTCATTGAGCTCATCACGTCGAGACGTGCTTGCCTTTGTGAGACCCGGCGGGGGAAGACATGCAAGTTGTTCACACCTGCATACTATATCAAATGCACCAATGAGAAGTTCGTGTGAAGTAGTTTCAAAGGTTCCGAACCAAATTTAGTTCGTCTCACATGAGCGAAGGGCCGCTATCCAGGCAGTTGCGTCGGTTGTTCACAGCCAGGAAGGTGTCATTTCGAGCTGATGGATCCAAGTTCCAATCAACCCCCCTTTGTGGGGGCTCCACAAAGCCACAATTTCTTTAAAAAATAAATATCGTGGTTTTGGTGCTCCTACATGCCTCCGAGACTGACATCCCCATGGAACTGCAGCGGGTTGATGTGGCAATTACACTGACGTTGTGAAATGGGTGCCCACAGGTGCCCCATGGTGGTCAAAATCGGATGAAATTGGTGCGTTTCGCAGAAAGGGAAAAAGTAATACTGGTCGTGGTTTTGAAGTCTAAGAGGTGAACAAGAGGTCTTTTTTCAGCTATTGCAGTCTAAGACTCTGAGAACTTTACTCGCTAGATCGGCCCAAGGCGCTGGAGTGTTCTCCGGCTTAAATCCTGGCAGAATTTGACGGCTCCAATGTGTGCTACGTGAACTGCACTTGTGGGAGAGCAACTGCTTGGGCTTGGGACATATTTGTCCCACCCTTGGTACTGGGGGTCTTACCAAGCGATGAATATGCTTCAGTGAGCGCGGCCTGTCACCCAGTTGAAGCTCCTGTAGAGGCTCCACATAATTCCTCAACCATCATGGCAAATCATCATTTGGCTCCAAACCAGTTGCCGCGACAGGAACAAACCGCAGAACATAAAAATCACATATGTAAAGATGAGACAAGATGCGGTGCATGATTTTGTCCGACAAAGTCTTTGGTCGGTGCTGGTACAGATTCTCCAAGCGCTCTTGGATCTCTTGCTCGCTCCAAATGTGATTGAGGGTCACGGATAACCTCAAAGACACAAGCTGGCATCAAAACGACCTGCGTAAAGCCAAAAAGAGACTTCAACACCAGAAAGGTACAAGTCTGCACGTTTCTCAGCCTGAAACTGGTGCCTGGTCATCCAACAGTCGAGATGCGGGACCGGATCAATCACCCTGTGTATGTATGTGAGTCTGGTCACTGCAATCTTGGCTCACGGGCTCACGGATTGCAGTATCAACAACCAATCAGATCAATATCTGAGCTTGCACGGAGAAACCGCCCAATTTGCGGTTGAACCGAGTGGCTCAGCATTGGCCTGATGTGGCTTGGCCAGTGGAGGATCCTTCTTGGACTCCCGAAAGTGAGGTTCGGAAATGCGCAAACTGGGCCGTTGCGCAAACGGTCGAGACGGAGAGAAACGTGGAGATTCTCTTTGATGACATAAACATTGAGGGACCAAAACATTCAGTTGGTGGACATAAATAAAGGTGGTGGAAATACATTGAAAATCCATGAAATGCTTCTCTCTCCTGGGTTGAGTGGCAATGAGCCAGTTCCGGGCCTGCTAGCACTTGGTTTTCATGGTGGTCGGCTTTCGCACCAATGTACAGTAGTCCAATGTAACAGTCCGAAGCTCCCCAGAACCGATGAAAGCAGAGGTGGCACCCCCTCAGCTACTCCACGGGTGCGTGGTTCCTCCAAGCTACTCCTCTGAGTCCTTCTCGGTCGCAAAGCAGCGCGAAGAATGGAAACCCCACGGATGAGCACCACTAGTGCTACTCAGGTCCTGAAAGTCAGGAGAAGAGTGCGTGGTCTCACATTGAAGCTACTGAATGTCCACCAAGAGTCAAGAAAAATTGTACAGCATATAGAAATATAGCCAATTACGTACACAATCATGCACAAATAGGACAAAAGTTGGTAACAAGCCTGTGAAGACATCACCTCAACCAGTTCTCCATAGAATCCTACAGAGGATGACAGTGGAATTCCTGCAGAGGAGTTTCCACCTGAAGTGACAGAAAACGTGTTTCCTGTTCTTCTGCTCCTTGGATCATATTAGATTCCAGTCACGAAGAATGACCAAACAAATCGCACTCTGCAGTTTCCAGCCGTTTCCAGCCTGGCATTTGGTTGCAAGCCTGACTGAGGTGGGTTTGACCAAATGAAAGCCCGTCAACTGAATGGTTTTTTGCCGAACTGCAGCTGTCATTGTCATGTCCTTCTGCCTTTGTTTCCATCACTCGTTCGCCACCAGCGGTGCCGCGTTCGCAGTGCCTCCAGTGCCTCCAAACTGGCACAGCCCCAGGCCTCACAGTCCTGCCGGGGATCCCGCCCAACGAGTTTTTTGGAGCCCAACAACCTCACACATGTCATGAAAATCGGACATCATCCAGCCACAAGAACCCGGAACCTACTTGGGCGCCCCTGTTTCGTGGCACGAACCACGCAGTCTCCCGTTTGGTCTCCCGTTTGAACGCGCAAAGGGCGCCAAAAGGGCGCACCGGTTCAAGATGCCAAGGGCACTATGATTTGATACGTTATTGCAATAGCGCGACGCGTTCAAGTCTGGGTGAAAAATAAGCCACGTTCAGTAAAACGGCCTTAAAGTCAACCGCCGCAAAGCTGGAGCTGCCCGCAACGCCATGGTTGCCATGGCCTGAGAGTTGCTACTCGACCGAAATATCGAGTTTGGTTCGAAAACATTGAATATCGACTTCACATTGGACAACATTACATATTGCAAATTCCACTTGAGGTAATGGAGGCCCAGGTGGGCCTGGTTCCACCAACCAGCGTTGGTTCGCTGGCAATTGTCCAGCTGGGGATCCCCACATTATCATTTGAAAAACATCGCTGTGGCAAGTCCAAACAAACCAGAAAATCGGTTCCATGAAGGCACTGACTGACAGTCGGACTGACTGTCCTTCACCACTCCTCCTCATCTTCAAGTCTAGGCCACCAAACAAAAAGAGAACGTGGCGACACCCGGAAACATCCCAAGCCGGGCAACCCATGAGGATGTTGGAGGTTTCTTGGAGACGGTCCCCACAGTTAGACGAAGGCCACCTCACATACCCGCCTCTAGCTGGCGCAATTCACTCTTTAGGCCCCTACAACTTGCGGCCAAGCGCGGCTGCGGCCAAGACATGAGTCATGAGTCTCATCTGAACCTGTTTTGTGGGCCTTAACGGGAAAGAATGGAGATAGTCACTCTGAAGGATATATTATATAGTGGAAAAAAGCGCTTCCATGTACTTCCAACATCTTATCAAGAGTTGGCCTGCCAAGGCTTCTTCAGCTCACGGACATTGTTCTCGGCATCTGTCACCTTCAAGACAAGGGCTTGTCATACTGCAAACACTTGGAGTGGTGCAACCGCCCAATCGTGGGAGACTACATCCGGCCTCTTGTACCAAGAATTGAGCGCTCTCGGTGGATTGCCTCAGCGTCAGCTCTGATAGGGAGGACTAGGAAGGACTATGGCCGCCCTTTGCTCCCTATCCTGAGATACCGGTTCCTGAGAAAACTGTAGTTGGGTGCAAAAGGTAGCATTCAGGCGGCCTTCTGGATAAGTCATTATAAATCCGTACTCTGAACGAATCTCCCTGAAAGTGGCGATGGACTGTGACCTCCCAAACTGCACGACGGCTACTCAGCCGAAGACTGTCCGTGCTCCAGCGTCACTGTCAACACCATCTGCGCAGCCCATGTGAAGAAATCAAACAAGTGACCACGGAGTTGCTTGGCATCCTCTTAGCTGCAAAAGCTTGTTAGAAAAATAGGATCGTCTTTGAATATAGAGTTTTTTGCTTTGTTATACCGACCAACTCCTCAGTATCTCCTGGCTTTCATCCACACAACTAAGAACGCACTCCCTGGCCCTAGCCCATCATTGATCAAACTCTCAGCGGTTCATGCACTGCGTTGCTTTGTTAGCAATTTTCTGGACGATCTTTCATCAGCAATCAAACTGATTGGCAAAAGGGCCAAGGAAAGAATCAGTTTCCTTTGCTCGACGAGGCATCCCCGATGTGAGGCCTCGACATCAGTCCCACTGAAACATCGACATCGGTCCATCATGTCAGCTGACTTGGGCCGATCCCGCCTTCATGTCGCAGTCCATCTCTTCAGATCCATCATTTGCGCAGCTCTCCAGCCTCCGAAACCCACTGGTCGACTCCAAGTGGAGTCTAAGACATGCAGCCCCAAGCTGCTGTTCACCTACATGTTGATGTGTTGTCTATTCGACATTGTGAACCTTGGGGTGGCATAAAATAGGTATCCTCTGTATATATATATGATATATTTATATATATATGATATATGCACGTGTGTGTATATATATATATATATGTGTGTGTGTTGTCAGTGTGAATCGCCGAAAAGCAAAGTGCTGAAACCAAACAAGAACTCGCTGTAAGACCTTGCCTGCTGGAACTCAAGACAGAAGCCAGCGTGAGGGTTGGCAGCACATGCAGCCTGGTGTTGGGGAAATCTAAGCTGACTGAGTGTCCTCCCCAAAGCCATTCAAATTGTGAGACTTATCATGACTATGGGTCAAGCACGAGAGAGAGAGAGAGAGTGAGTGAGTGAGTGAGTGAGTGAGTGAGTGAGTGAGTGCCACCCAAGCCCATTGAATACAGCAAACCGGATTCCAACATGAGGTCCTCAGCTTGAACTCCTCAGCTTGCTGAATTTGTACAAGCCCTGACGACGAAATCTCTGAGTAAGCAAGGCAGGTCTGACGTTAAAGCTCGCATTGCGTCATCGCTTCCGCAGCAAACCCTGACAGGCAGGACCGCAGGTAGCACACATCTCACCCCAGACAAGTCGCAAGAACGTTGATTGTTCGGTGTGTTCCATTGTGTTCCTGTCATATCGAAAACGGCTGGACTGCAAAGTCTCACATTTGGTGTATTTGCATTTGGTGTATTTGGTTGTGGCTCTTGCATACCTACTGTGGCAACATTGCCGCATGTTGTATTGTTGCCTGCGCACTTACTATGACTGTGACGACACCTCACATGATGTGGGTTTTCTGCCCTTCAGCTACAAATACTTGAGAAGGAAGCTGCATTTGACAAAGCTCTTGAATACATACACATGGCACAACCTCCAAAATGGCAGCCACCTGACGGGTGGGGGGACTGGCCGGTGGAAGGCCCTTTCAGGTGTGTCTGAGTCACCCCCGGTGGCACCGGTCAGATCTGAAGACTCCTGAAGAACCTGCGCATTGATCTTTGTCAATGAATGTCAATTTGACAGAGCTCTTTTTGAACCTTGATCAACCCAGAGAAGCGACAGTAGTGAGGTCATGTGAGGTCTGCAGTCCTGCAATGCTACCAGGTGCTCAGCGGCCCCAATAGGTGTGACGGCTCTTCTTTTGGACACTGGCCCAAACAGGCCCCTCCGGCCCCTCCCTTTTGCACTCACGTTTCTACGGTCTTGGAACAGGCCCTTCCCTCCCTCCCTCCCATGGCGCTTGTTCTTTCCCGATCGCCCAATCGCACTGATTCGGCGGAGCCGCCTGAATTCCTGCGCCGCCGTTTTGACATGCCCCGTAAGTACCACATAGAAACCGGTAAAGCACCATCATATGTGTCTGGGTGACCAGTGAGAATGATCCAACCACTTCAATCCATTCCAATTTACCCCCAAATGAGGAGGTTTCTTTGTCAAGGCGATCCTTTGCAAGCCAGGAAACCTGTTCGCCTCTTCCATGGAACTTGAGTCAGGGTCAAAGGTGCGTTGAATTGCTTGAGTATATCCCATGACCTGTAACAGCGGATGATGATGGTTAGTAAAGGCCTTTCTTTAAAATAGTGGTGTATACTCCCCCACTTCATTGCTCAAATACATCAAGCGGCCGCTGCGTCTGTCGGACAGCGGCCGTCGCTGTCCGACGGCCGTCCTGGTGCATTGGGTCTACTGCGAGCCTTCCACCTTTCTCTTCTTCCAGAGACGAGCCATCTCCAAGATTTTGAGATTCTGCTGCCCTTTGTCGTCCTACACAAGCTGACAGAATGAATGCTGCAAAGGCCGCATTGAGGCCGGAAGAGCAGGGAAGCAACCTAAGGATATCATTGACTTGACAAGAAGCAATCACAAAGACTATATAGTAGGCTGTTGCGTAGGTCCTCTGGGAAGACATACTCCATGTAATCCTGAACAAATGCCATCTGCAAGTGATTCCAGCTCAACAAACAAAGAGTGGTCTCAGCCACGCACAAAAAGCACAAACATCCCTAATTACTCCCCACCTTAAGTAAACGTGATCTACATTGATTACACCCTGCAGCAGTTTTAAAAAAGAGAACATGCTACGGTGTACTCCCACACTTCCGCGGTTCCCACGTGTTTTTGGGGTTCTGGTTCTCCATGGTTCTCCGTTTCGGTGGGTGGGAACAAGTGGCTGACTCCAAACAAAAAGCCGTTTGGGACAACAGAAGCCAGCCAAAAAAGCCCCGCCTCGTATGCATCTTGGCCATCCTCGCCCTCTCCGCCTGGAATGAGTCGCCTGGGAGCAAGCGAAAGAGGAAAGGAACCCAGTTCAGATGGCAAATGTCGAGTAAACCTTCCAATCAATCCACTCGTGACTCACATGAAACATCAAGAAACCGATTTCAACGATCGCAATCCTCGAAAGTGCCGTCTGATCTAAACTTTTCCCAGCCTTGGGCCTTGATCCCAGAAACTTAAGACTGCTTTTTCAGCTACAGATGCCCAAAAGTTGCAAAAGCACATCAAAAATGCATATAACTTTTGTATAATTTCAACAATGCTCATCACAAAATGCAAAACTTGGTTTGATACTTATCGACATGCACACTGAAAGACTAAAGAACATATGATAAAAATATGCTGCATATACAGTATACTGGCAGATCTTTGGGCTTTGGTTTCGGCGATGTCGGTTCGGCTTGCGGCTTGGGGCCCTTGGGTCTTGGGAGGGATATTTGCATGGCCCATGCAGTGCAGCTGGCTACTACAATAGACTTTGGGAGTCTGTCAGTCAGTCTAATGTCCAGAGTCCAGTGACTGTCCAGTGAAGGAGTTAATTTAATGTCCAGTGACTGTCCAGTGACTGTCCAGTGAATGTGCAGAAACAAGCAGATTACCGGTAATTACCGGTACCTCTTCTTTTTCGCCATCGCCACGGCCACGAGGAGAGTTGAGTCACGCAGCACACACTACAAGCTAACAAAGCTTTGGGCGGCGTTGGCAATCCACAGCCGCCGCTGGCTACCCAAGCAGGTTTTGGGCACTTTGCCAGAGCTGCTGCTGGATCATGTCACTATCAACATTATCCTGCTGACCTGCCACTGTCGAAATTTGATCCCGCACAAGCCTCTTGGCTTTCTCCAGCTCACTTGGCTGGAGTCGCAGAGCCAGGCTCAGAACCTGTTCCACGACAATCACCCTGCCGGCCTGCAGCACACCACTGGAAAAGGTGAGGGCTTTCCTCAAACCATCCAGTTGTCCCATCAATCCCTCTTCTGTCACGGCTATGTCAACCTTCGCTGTGGACAGCAAATTGAGGACAGTCTTTGCTTCCAATACCTCCTGGAATTTCATATTTCATACAATCAGGGAGCCCTAGTGACTAGATTGACTAGATTATCTTGTAATATAAACATTTGTATGACTCCTGTACGCATAAATGCTGCTGCTATACATGGTGCAACAGTAAAACATTATGATCTTGGTCCTGCCTTATGTAGTTACAGTTACTGATAAATACTAGTTGCTAGTAGTCACTAGTCACTAGTCACTAGTCAGTTACTAGTTACTAGGTTTACAATTCCGTTTTATTACAGCCATGGTTTAAAGTTTAGAGTTTAGAGATACCACGGCTCACGGCTCATGGCTCATGCCTTCAGTGAGAGAGTGAGACATATCAGCCGCAAAAAAACAAACAAATGAATGAACGCTGTATATACTATATACTTGGCAGCTGGTTGGCCAGCCCACTCCTGATGCAGCTGATCCACCAAAGCTTTCCTCGGCAGCGCTCAACACACAAACTCTAACTCTAAGACACTGAGTCAGCTGAGTCTAAGTCTTGATTCTGAGTCCTAGGTCCTAGGTCCTAGGTCCTAGGCTGCTAGTCAACTAGTTGCTACCGGCTGAGCGGCTAGCGTGACTGCTAGCTGGCTAGCTGGCTAGTGGCTACCAACAGCGGCTAACCCAAGTCCAACTCATTCTTGCTTAAAATTTGCAACACAAATCAACCGAGTCAATCAGTCAATCCCTCAGCTGGTCACCGTTCATTCATTAGAATATCATTATTTAATTTTGATTATTATACACTTGTATTATTGGATCCAACCAGTTCAGTCCAGTTTTCCAGGTTCCTGTAAACAGTCCCCAAGACACCGACTCCCCAAAGACAAAAGACTTTGATATGCCTTATGATATGATGATCTGACACATGACACAGACATATCTCAGATCCAACATAGACATTTCCCAGGCTCTGGCTCCTGTTTCTTCAACAATCCTCTCAGCCTCTCAGGCCCTGAGGAAACGCAGAATTCGTGATGTGACTTCCCAAAGTCTCAAAGTCTTCGTGACTTCCCAAAAGACTTTGACTTGTGACTTGAAGATTCAAACAAACAAAGGACTGTCTATAGAGTAGAGTCTGGTTTGTTTTTACCAACCCCCCATCGCAAATCCTCAAACGCGTCCAAAGTCCAAAGCCGCCCTCTCCACACGGAGATCCGTATATACGCTTTCGTGCCGGTTAGAGAGGTATGGCCCAGTGCATTTGCAAGGCTTCTACTTGACTATGACTATAAAGTGTACAGGGCACGCGGCATAGGTCACCCCATGTGGACGCATCATGGCGGGTGGAGCGCATATAAGCAGTTCCTACTCATCTCCCCTCTCCTCCTCCTCTCCTCTCCTCACTCCTCTTCATGCATCATTGTCTGTCAGGATTTGCAACAACAATGCATGGCAAATTGATTGAACTTGAGAAGCATCAGTTTCCAAGATCAATCCTTTTGAGGACCGTCGCGCCAGTCAGTCAGTCAGTCAGTCAGTCAGTCAGTCAGTCAGTCAGTCAGTCAGTCAGTCAGTCAGTCAGTCCATCAGTCATCAGTCATCAGTCAGTCATCATCAGTCAGCCGGGATCAAAGCCTTTTAAGGCTTTAAGGACACAGGCGCAGTTTTTGAGACTGAGTCGAGTGAAATTGTTTTTCTATTTTTCATTCCCTTCAGCTATCCAGGAATACAGTCCATCCGCCGTCCATCAGTCAGTCACTGCTTTGGTCCGGGGCTGATCAGCCCATAAGCACCTGCTATACTAACTATATATAATATATACTATACACTACCTACCAACCAACCACTTACAGACACCAGAAACTAGTAATAATGGTAGTCACTAGTCACTAACAATCATAAACATAAACTAACTAACTGGAACTGTAACTATTACTACTATCTGTACAATCATGGATAATGATATCCAGGTCCAAGTCCAAATCGTTTAGAATCTATCCAAGCAGAGTCAAAAAAGGATCATCAAGTGGAGTCAAGAAGAGACCAAGCCTCACACCCTACACACTAAGCCATTGGTCCCATAAGCGTCCTAAGTCAAGTCTTAGTCATAGTCTTAGTCAAGTCATGTCTTAGTCACATCCCTTGTCATCGGAGACTCAAAGCAGCTCCCTTCGTGTCCATCTTCAAGATGGTAGTTGACGCACGTTGTTGGACTTGATCAATGTCGGTATTCTCCTCCAGCGCAGCCTTCCAAGAATTCTCTGCCGTCACTGGGGCAAGAATCGCTGAAAGCTTCCTTGTAGAGCATGTCATAGGGTCGCAAGCCGTAGCCAAATGCCCACTCATAGTATCAATGATGATTTCAGAGCACAGAAGAGGCTTGAAAGTGCTAGAGGAATCTAAGTGCACAAGATCTGAGATGGACTCAGACAATTTCTTGCGGTAGTCAACCTCCTCAGCAACCTTTGCATCACTGTCACTGGCCCCCACCTGGGTTTTTGAGACATTGACATGCGACATGTGCTTGCTAGCTACCACCTTCCACCTGGGACCTACCTGACACTAAGTTAAACTGAAACTGAAACCCTGAAACAGCACTTGCTCACTCCCAGGGCCTAGGGCCTAGGGCCATATTCATTACAAGTCACAAGTCTGGAGCCTAGCTGGGCCTAGCCGAGCCTAGCTAGCCACTAGTCACTAGCCGCTCACTGGCCAACCAGCCAAATAATAAGATCGGTTTTCTGTCTGAGTTGGTAGTTTGTTCTTCAAAAAATAAATAACCTTAGATTAGATTCCAAGTCGAGTCAAACCAGTTCTATGATTCTATGTTACCTTGAAGGTCCATACGCCATACGCCATATGCTATATGCCCTATGATTCATATGATTTCATGGAACACAGCAACATCAACTGCCACCGCAGTGGAGGCAAGGTGCATTCTGGGAATCCGAATTGGGAAGAAGACCATCCACCTCGAAAAGGACAATGTCATAGCCCACAAAGTCACCAGTACCAGTACCAGTGGCTGTGGCTGAGGCCGCAGCCGCTGAAGCCGCTGAGGCTTCTTTCTCCATGCCCGCACCCATGCCATCAGGGGCATCACCACCATTGCCGTTGCCGTCACTGCCTCCAGTGTCCCCAGTTGTTTTTGCTTCTGGTGGCTTGCTTGAGATCACAGGATCTGCTTGGCTTTGCTCTAGGGCAGCAATGGCTTGTTGGCAAGCTTCACAGTGTCCCAGAACTGAAGAGAGTAGTTGCCTCTTCTTATCCTTCCGGACTCGATCCATTGACTCTCCCCCAAGAGCTGCCAATGTGGAAGTTGCGACTGCAAGCCCCACCCCAGACTTCACCACATCAAGGTGCTGCTGCAGCATTCGGTACTCAGGCATCTTGTCATTCCATACCAAACTTGCCACTGATTCCAAAATGGCCCCCCTGTTCCGGAGAGTAGAAGTAGGCATCTTCTCCTTGAGCATCTTGACCTTTCACAAACAAACAAAAAAACCCAAATGATAATCAATGATCAATGCATTTGTCATCAGTTAACTAAAGTCGAGTCAGTCATGAACTGCTGAACTGATCTTCAGATTGATTACTGTAGTGAATCTAATGAAACAAAACAAAGTCAGAGTCAAAGTCAAAGTCTTGCAAGCAACACCCTAATGCACCACACAACAAACACAAAGACAAATACACAAGACTAGACTAGACTCTAGACTAGACGAAGACTGCAGTCTCAGTATGCAGTATAGGCAATGACATGGTAACATAGCTGGTTGTCCAGTGAGTCAGGCTCTCATTTAAACTAGTAACTAGTGACTAGTGACTGACTAGTGATGACTAGTGACTAAGGTGACTAAGGTCCAGAGTCTTAGAGCCTATGAGACTATAGTCTAGAGTCTATGGCATATGGCGCCCAAGATTAACAAAGGCATGTGGCATATGTCATTATAGGTATTATATTGTAGCCGATAGCCATAGTAGTAATGGTCATAGTCATAGCCATAGTAA